GAAAGATGGTACCAGTCCTTCTGGGAGAAGCCCGTGCAGGTGAGAGGAAGGGGCAGTCGGCAGCTGGGCTGGGGCAGGCCCTGGCTCCAGGCAGTGGAAAGCACTGCGGTCAGCACTGCCGGAGCAGCTATGTGAGAAACGCCGCCCGGCGTCTCAGCTATTTCCCCTGCAAGCAGCCGGCTGGGGCTTGCCGGGGGAGCAAATTCCTCTGGCAAGGCCAGGGCCGCCTGAAAGAAGGCCTGTTCTCCAGGGCGGGAGGAGCACACGGGGGGAGCACCGGCTCAGAGCCGCCCTTCACCACGGCACCCCCAAGGAACTGTGCTTCTTTCATCTCCTAAAAATAACAGGCAGGGGCGAGGGCTCGGGAGCCCCGTCACGGGCAGGGCCTGGCTTGACACATGCATTCCTCCCACCGGAGCAGGGCCGAACACAGCCCCTCAAGGCAGCCCTTGCCGCAGAGCTGCCTGCCTCCCGCAGCGTCTGGCAGGGGCCGGAGGGGAGCAGGGGCTCTTCCAGGAAGGCGAGGAACAGCCGGAGCTGCTCCTTCCCAGAAGGGCCGTCCGGGCTCTTGGCCACCAGCTGCAGAGCACAGGGAGGGCCCAGCCGGTCCCCAGAGGCCAAGCTGCGTGCGTGGGAGAGCAGTGCTCCAGCACGGACAGACCGGGCTGGGGGAGGGACAGGCAGGGCCAACGAGGCATGCAAAGCCCTGGCCCTGGCGCAGGCTCACACCTTTGGCCCTCCCGAACCTCAGGGCCAGCGAGATGCTGCCCCGACCATCTCAGAGTCCGGTGTCAACACCCCTTTCATCATGGCCCGTAAAGCTGCTGCATGGGTGCAGATGTGGATGCAGACCTTAAAGCATTTGCAATGCTCCCAGTGGAAGCAATTTGATGAGGCAGACATCTGCCATGTCGCTCTGGCCTCGTAGGCACAGCCACAGCAGCGAGTGCTGCCAAGGACCAGCTCAGCCGGCACACCAGGGAGGCAGGGAGAGCCGCCCGGGCAAAGGCTGGCCCAGAGCAGCTCCAGGCCCCCTCTTGCTCGCAGAGGAGGTGGCCTCACAAGCCACGGCTCGGCGTGTGCCCGCGTGTTACAGATGGAGGAGTCAGATCCCAGGCTGTGCGGGTGCCGAGTGGGTGGCAGGACACCTCTACGCTAACGCTGAGGGGATCCCGGGAGGCACAGCTGGTGTGCTCCTCCCCAGCTGGAGGGACTCCTGTGAGGAGCAGGGGCAGGGTCCCACACAGCCCAGCCTCCCCTAGGCAACCGCCGCTGCCGTGGGAAGGAGGCCACACAGCACTGGGGGCTCCCTAGAAAAGTGCTTTATTTGAGTACAGAGGGGAATGGTTGCACCACAAGTCCACCCAAGCACCGGGCCGGGCCCCTCTGCCTGGCCCCTTCCAGTCCCTCACAAGCTCTCAGTCTCTCCCTGACCAGCGCACAGACACGGCTCAGTCCTGTGTCCTCAGCTCTCGGCCAGCACCGCCAGCCAGCGCCCACAGCAGCCTGCACGACGGCACCGCTACTCCGTGACCTCAGGGACAACGCTCACCAGCAAGGTGTCATAGCCACGCCGCACCAGCAAGGCCAGGCTCTGCTGCGTCCGTACTGCCTCGTACACATCCTCCGCGCGGCGCGATGCCTGCCCGTTGATCTCCAGCACGACGTCACCTGCCTTCATCCCTGCCCTGTGGGGAGAAGGACGACAAGAACGCACAGCGGGCGAAGCAGACGCTCAGCTTTGTCCTCCCAGAAGGAAGGGGAGCCAGGCACTACAGGAGGCTTGGGCTGCTGCACCAGGCGTTCCTCCAGCCACACAGGTACCTTGGCCAACAGGATGCCAAGCCTGGGCAAGGGTCACCAGCCGGTTTCTGCTGCAGACTGATGGCTGTGGGGCCCAAGCCCTGCTGCTCTGGAGCAAAACACTCAGAGCTAAATACATCCCATCCTGCGTAGTTGCTCTCCCACGCCACCCCCAAGGCACAGGGCAGCACTTACTGATGGGCCGGGGAGCCAATGATCACCTTGTGGATTAGCACTCCGTAGGAGACATCGGGGAAGCTGGGGTCACGCAGTTTCAGCTCAGCTAGGATGCTGCAGAGTGAAAATCAGCATCACGGTAAGGATCTCCGAGGCAGAGCAGGTCTCCCACCCCACCATGGCTGCACAGGCTCGGAGACCACGGCGCAGAACCTCTCCTCCTGCATCCCTGCACACTGCTACGCACAAGCGACCAGCGAGCAGCTGCAAACCCCAGGGGCACCTGTACAACACCATCTTCCTGTCAAAAACTAGAAGATAAAAGTCCTAACTGTGCCAGGGAGAGCTGGAAACTACCAGAGCAGCTGCCAGCTGGATCACAGCTGCTGGTGATGCACCTCCCCTGCCTGAGCCGCCCCCCACCAGACCCCCCTTCCTGATACCAGATCTGCCCCTCCCCTGCTGCAGTTTCACTCCTCTGCCTTTGGTGGGTAGGACACAGAACAAAAGCTATGCCCCCTCTTTTTGCCAGACAAAAAGAGGTATACTCACATCTCTCCTCCGGAGTCTATAGACTAAACAATCCCAGTTCCTCCATTCTTCCCACAGATTAGGTTTTCTAAACCTAGCTTAAATTCTGCACCTCTCACTGCTCCTCCTTTGGACTCTCTCCCACTGCTCCTCAACCCTCCTGAAAGCGTCCAGAACTGGACGCAGAGCTCCAGCTGGATGTCACCAGAGTGGAGGGACCATGTGTCGTGTAAACAGCATTCTTCCCTCAAACACTGTGCATCAGCTCTGATCCGCTGCAGCCCAGAAATTCTCACAGTCTCTCTGTCCGGCTCCTCGCTCCTTATCAGGTACCTGTCCAGTTATGGCTCCCCACTTCGCCCTGGTCCTTGCTGAACTCTGCTATACTTTTTCACAGACCTCTGCAAGCTGCCATCCCTTCCTAATTTCACAGGATCACAACACGGTTGAGGTTGGAAGGGACCTCTTGAGATCATCTAGCCCAACCCCCCTGCTCAAGCAGGCTCAGTCAGAGCAGGTTACCAGGACCGTGTCCAGTCAGGTTTTGAGTATCGCCACGGTTGGAGACTCTCCGACCTCTCCAGGCAACCTGTGCCAGGCTTTGACCACCCTTCTCAGAGTAAAAAAGTGATTTCTCATGTTCAGATGGAATCTCACTTTTCAGTTTGTGCCCGTTGCCTCTTGTCCTCTCACTGGGCACTACTGACAGAACAATGTGAGCTGCACGTTTACTAAGTCAAGTCTGCTTCTTCGCCTCAGCCACTGAAGCTGAACAATATACGCCCTTAAGCAGGTCTCTGTACAAACATAGTAAATGCGTGATTTTGTGATTTTAGGCTACATAGCACTAAGAGTGGCTGCACCCGGTTCTGGTGGGTCGTTGACCCTGGCTGGCAGGTAAGCCCCCACCCAGTTGCTCGGTCACTCCTCCAGCAGGATGGGGGAAAGAATTTGAAGGGCAAAAGCAAGAAAACTTGTGGCTCTACATAAAGATGGTTTAACAGGCGAAGAAAGAAAGGAAAGAAAAGAAAAGAAAAAAAAAGGCCAAAAAAAAAAAAGGCAAGTGATGCAAAAGCACTTACTGACCACCTCCCACCAACAGACTGATGCCCAGCCAATCCCCGAGCAATGGCTACCTTGGAAAAAACCCCAGTTTTATTGGTAAGCACGACGTCATACAGCATGGTCAGTTCAGGTCAGTTGTCCCAGCTGTGTCCCCTCCCAGTCTCCTCCCTGGGGGTGCCAAGTGAGAAACAGGGCAGGCCTTGCTGCTGCGTAAGCACTGTTCAGCAACAGCAAAAACATCTGTGTGTTACCAACTGTTTTGGTCACAGATCTAACACACAGCACCACGTGGGCTGCTATGAAGAAAATGACTCCACCCCAGCCAGACCCAGTCCACAGGTCAGTCAGATGAGGGGTCCATCTTCCCCACCACCCTATCACCTACAACGCCAGCTGTGGATGAGATAGTTCCCCAGATGCCTATGGCCTCCAGCCGCCTGGCTCAAGAAGCTCCTGAGCTGTAACGCTGCATCTTTGCATTTGAAAGCCAGTAATATTTTTCTTCTGTAAAGTTTTCTAGTTGCTCTTTTGAACCCTACAACATCAGCAAGTTCTATCACACATTGCATGAAGAACCAACCCATGTTTTGGATGTCCCTCTAGTAACCCCCCTGACCAGCAACACACCCCAGCAGCAGTTTCATGTAGAACCTGTTCCCAATAATCAGCGTCTCTTTCCTTTGCTGTTTGCAAGTCCTTTGCTCAGTCCCTGCTTACTCGATGCTGTAAGATGACTGCAGAGGGCTGTGCTAGCCAGGGCCCTGTCTCTTCCCGTGCCTTTCTGTGGCCAAGGCGAGGGTACCTATGAGCTCCCCCACAGCTGAGCTCAAAGCCATTGGCACCCCTCCGTTCCCTTCGGGCAGCAGAGCAAAGGCCTGGTGTCTCAGGAAGCTCCTGCCTGCCAGACAATCTGTGCAGCAGGACCAGGACGCCGAGGAGCTTGTACCCAACATGGAGCTTCTCCTCCTTCCTGTGCTAGGGCAAGTTTCTGGCCTTTCAAATGAGCATGTTCAGACAGCGTAATCACCCGACTCCAAGGCGAGCAATCCCTTGTTGGGAGATCTTCCCAGCAACTGGGCACAAACAAGCCTTGCAGTCAGATGGTTTCCCAGGACCAGCTGCCAGACCGCTCACTGGCTGTGCTGAAGCTGGACCCGCTTCCCAGAAGCCATGTCCTAAGCATTTCACGCTTCTTCCCTGACAGACTGTCCTGCAGGCCTGTCCAGGAGGAGGTTGGGCTCCCACATCCCACAGGTTTTGCTGAGTACCAGCACCATCTACTGGGCATCTACTGGGCATGCCAGCAATGCTGACAGTGTTCCCCCACCCTCCTCACTGCCCCGAATCTCAGGAGGCACAAAGCATCTGCTCCTCCGTTTGTGTCCCAGGCAGAAACCCCAGAGACTGCTGGTGGTGTCCAGAGGCGCAGGCAGCCTGCAAACCCAACCAACACACAAGAGCCACAAGAGCTTTAGCAAGGGCAGAGCACAGCCCTGAAAGGTGTTTCTGCCAAGGACGCTACAACCACCAACCCCACCAGCATGCTGAGCCCCAAGAGCCAGTAAAGGTCTCTTGAAAGAAGGCTGCAAGAGCCAAGGAACTAGAGCAGGCACTTTGTCCTTGAAAAGGAGAACTGCTCTCAGAGGTGAGAGGGCAGGTCCAGCACACTCGCTGCATCTAGAAGGCTGCGTTCAGGCGTTCAGGTATAGCTCCTGCAGCAATTCCCTCCCAGGGCTCGCAGCCCTGAGCGGAGCTCTGTGCAGGCTGACCAGGGCTGTCCAGCCCTCAGCAGGGCACCCGTCTCAGGGTGCTTGGTTGGCTGCCAAGGCCACAGGCACGTCCTGGCGACCAGCTGAAGAAAGGGCAGCAGGTGATCCTTCTACCAGACCCAAGCAGGTTGTCTGTCCGCAGTCCTCTTTGCTGACTTGAGGTGCAGGGGTAACACAATGCCCTTCCCAAGCCACAGCCGTGAGGGTGAAGAGTCTCAGACCCACAAGAAGTCACTCCTCTTCCCACTTGCCAGCCCCTTCCCAAGCCACAGCTGTGAGGGTGAAGAGTCTCAGACCCCCAAGAAGTCACTCCTCTTCCCACTTGCCAGTGCTGTACTGGTCAGCACCATGATGACTTCTTTCCAGAGGCAGCAACCAGCCTTCCTCCTGAAACCCAGGAGCCTCACACCACCCTCTGGGTGGCAGCCACGCTGCGTGTGCCAACACAGCCTGCTCTCCTACCTGTTTACCTCCTCCCTCAGTCGACTACTGCAGTCCCGTATTCTAGAACTGGTTTTGCACCACAGCGATTCATCTGGTAGATCCCTCCTCCCCGAGAGTACAACTTGCCCAACTGTTTCATCACAACTTTCAGTTGGCACATTGCGTATTATTAATTAAACAATGTTTCTGGTGGCTTTTCATTCACGCTGTGTTGCAAGGGCTCTTTATCAAATTCCCCTCAATGACAATTACAGACTGATTTGGCACTCTAGGGGGTACGTTCAGGGACTTTTTATCTGCTTGCGGATTCTGCCACAAGTGTAGAAACTTGCAAGCTTCTAATTTACCTCTGACACAGCCTGGAGTCTAAACACAACACGAGCACAAGGAGATTTGAGAGTGAATGCTTAAGCTGTGAAGACAATCCTCCCAAAACCAGGCACTCTCAGTTAGTTTGGAAGATCCCACCACACAGTCACCGTGCCCCAACAAGACCGGTCTGTTGGCCCCCGACCTTAGAACACATACCTGGGTGTAAGAGTCAGCATCATCACCCCTATGTAACGGCGCTTTGTCTCTGTATTGCCAAACCAAGAGCCTGTCGAAGGAAAGGACATCAAATGACAAGGCTGAAAACAGACCTGAACTCAAAATAGCGCTGGGCTGAGCCAGCCGAGTCACAAAGCCCATGCACCTCAAGCCAGACACCGCGTGGAGGGAGTCATTCTGATTCCCTACCAACAGCTTATTTAAGTTCCATTTACCAGTTAGAGCTTTATAGGTATTGCATACTTTGCTTTCCTGGTTTGAGTTGTCATTTTTTTTGACTGAGAATATCACTCAATGGTGTTAACATGAGAACCAGAAAGCAGGAGTCTGCATTAAATAAATTATCACAAACACAAAGGAACAAAAAGAGGCAATGTTCTACAGGACTAAATTAACTACCTGTCCTTTATGATACAGCTGAATCCTGCACCTGCATTTCCATTAGTACACACAAGGCTAAGTAGCCCCCAGTTTCCAGGTCATCCTTTCTCTTTTTTGAACACCAAATAATGGTCCACTGATTTTCCCATATGCTGAGATCTACTGAAAAGTAGCAATGAACAACAACAACAAAAAATCCTCACCTAATTCTGGGGACTTAAGTGCAAGCTACTTGGGACACTTTTGAAGTCTACTGCAGCAGATGCAGGACAGCATTCTCCTTGCAGTTTGTTAGGCCCCTGTGGGCAGGGAAGTAGCAGCACAGCTTTCCCACGGCAGAGGGGAGTTTCATGCCAGGTGGGAGAATCTTCTTACCCCTGAAGAGTCTTTCTCCCGCGCTCCTTGCCCTTCTCTCAGAAGGGCCCAGGGCCCAGCTGCGCCAGAGTTTCCCTCTTTCATCCTCCTCCTTCTGGCCTCCTTCCCGCAATACCCGAGCAGGGAGGCACCCAACTCACTTTTGCGCTGCTCCTCCTTTTGCAGGAACTTCCGCAGCCGGTCTGAGGGAATGGCAAAAGAGATGCCTGATGTCACCTTCATAGTGTTCACCCCAATCACTTCACCATCCTGCAGGGGAAAGGGCACTGTGCTGTCCACCTTGCGTTGCTGTGGAGAAGAGGGGAACTACCGTGCAAGCCTGGAGTCCCGCCTGTGTGCCCGTCCCTTCCCAGCCTGCTTCTTCTGCAGCCTGCCTGACCCTGTGAGGCTGGGCAGGGGCCGGTCCCATGGGCTGCAGCCCACGCAGACCCTCCCTCTGCCCTGCCAGCATCAGCCATGCCGGCCTCACCAGTCCCATCGGCTCAGGCTCCCCGAAACAGACGCTGCACAGGGCTCCCACACCGGGCCGAGCCCCTGCTCCTCCTCACAAGGAGCCTGGTGCGTGCACAGTCCCCCCCTCCCGGCAGCTGTAGCACCCACAAGTGCTCCCCCCGAGGGGCGTCGAG